CTCCACCCACAGCGCCGGCGCGTTTAACTTTGGGACGCCCTCCCAGCCGGCCGCCAGTACCCCCTCGACCAGTCTGTTCACACTCAGCACCCAGGCACCCGCCACCCAGACCCCCGGCTTCAGTTTCGGAGCCACTATGACGCCGGCTTCTGGAACGACAGGTTTTTCCTTAGGCATGAACCCCCCAAAGTTAAACCTGGGCACCCCCTCAGCCCCGCAGGCCACGGGCAACCCCAGCGCCTTTGGACTGGGCGGCAGCACCCTTGGAAACGCCATGGCTAGCGCCAGCACCTCAAGCCAACCAGCACCTGGGGGCTTCGTGTTTGGCTCCACAGCCACCGCCACCCCTGCGCCCACCACCACCACCTCTTCTGGGGGCTTCTCGCTCGGAGGCGGGGGCACAGCTCCGGCCGTGGCCCCCAGCTTCAGCCTGGGCTCCCTGGGTGGCTCAGTGGCACAGCCCTCGGCCCTCGCTGGGTTATCTTTCTTGCCAGCCGCGTCTGCGGCCTCCGCCACTACAACCACCCAGCCAGCCGCATCAGCGCCCACGGCCACCGCCACCACCAGTACCATTGGGCCCTCCCTCTTCGCCTCCATCGTCACTGGGCCGGCCTCATCCACTGTCCCCAGCCTCTCACTGTGCCCTCCCACCACCGCAGCCACGGCCCCCAGCACCGGGCCTCTGGGCTTCACCTTAAAGGGCCCTGGGACGACTTCTAGCACTGCCACGGTGGCGTCCACGGCGGCTGCTACCACCACCACCACCACTGCAGCCACCACCTTCTCCCCGAACCTGAAACCTCTGGCTCCCGTCGGGCTGACAAGTGTGATACCCAGCACTGGGACTGCTCTGCCCAGCACTACTGCCCCCACAGCTCCTTCCGGCGCCACTGCCAGCCCAGTGCTGACCTATGCGCAGCTGGAGAGCCTGATCAACAAGTGGAGCCTGGAGCTGGAGGACCAGGAGCGCCACTTCCTGCAGCAGGCCACGCAGGTCAATGCCTGGGATCGCACGCTGATGGAGAATGGCGAGAAGATCACCACCCTGCACCGTGAGGTGGAGAAGGTGAAGCTGGACCAGCGGCGGCTGGACCAGGAGCTGGACTTCATCCTGTCGCAGCAGAAGGAGCTGGAGGACTTGCTGGGGCCCCTGGAGGAGGCGGCCAAGGAGCAGAGCGGCACTGTCTACCTGCAGCACGCCGACGAGGAGCGAGAGAAGACCTACAAGCTGGCCGAGAACATTGACGCGCAGCTCAAGCGCATGGCGCAGGACCTCAAGGACATCATCGAGCACCTGAACACGGCCGGCGGCCCGGCCGA